TAGGGGGGACGTGCTGGATTCCATAAATATAATTAACGATTTATTAATCAAACGGCTAAGTAAATGAGAACGGGAATTAACAGCAGAGTGCAACGAAACAACGTTATTCTAATCTCAAATAAACGAAGTACAGTCCGCAACGGCAATGAATTCGCATCCCGTGCGAGCCGTACCGAGTTTGGCCTTGCCTAGCCCGACAGAAATCCGCTCTCTAGATATTACACACCGGCGCCGTATACGTGAGTAAATTGTTTCGTTATTTTATGATTATAAGAAATCAATATTCAAAACGACCCAATTCATTTTCCCGAAAATTTGGGAACACAATAATTTTATTCTTAGTATTACACTACATCTATCCCAACTGATATACGTGTCCTTGCAAAAATGTTGATGACGTCATCACAATTTTTTTTTAAATTCCCACTACAAAAATGTAATGAGAAAAAAAAACATAATAGGCATGCAGTCGTCAAGTTTCCGACAGCGAGGGAAGTACTGTCTAAACTCTTTAGACCAATTTTTGGAAAAACAAATCAAAATTAGGAAACAACATTTTGCAATTTAATTTTGAATCTGCTAACTTGAATGCTTTGAAATGTTGCAGATGTTTTAAGGCTATAAAGAGCATCATAAGTCTTTGGTCAAAATATATTTGGTTATCCCCTCCAAAAACTTGAGGGCCTCAGCTCAAAAGTTTACCGAATAAGTCCTATCTAAAATATACTAAATATGATGAGTCTGTACTTGTAATTTATCATTCCATTCATATTTTTTGGATTTGCATATACAGGGTGACTCAAAAAAATTAATATATGCGTAAATTTATTTTAGTGATTTACTCATGAACTTCAAAACCGAATGCTTTGAAATCTACTGCAAAAAAAAAACATAATAGGCATCGTCACGTTTCCGACAGCGAGGGAAGTACTGCATAAACTCTTTAGACCTTTTTTTTCTTTCTTAATTTTCTAGGTAATAACTTAATGTTTCAAAAATAATTGTTAATCATTAACAATGAAAGCAAATACTAGAATTTAAATATAGATTTCTCGAGACTTCTTAATTCTCAAAATTATTATTTAACAAAAACATAATTACAGCTTAATTAACATTGTTTAAAGCTTGTGTTTGTTTACGCCTGATCAGTTAGTTTTCCCATTTGTGGATGTTTCGATCAACTTTATTCCATCAAGGACACGTCTGTCAATTCCAACATGCAGTGTAATATGTACTAATAATAAAACACCGGGGTGTACCGTTCTTGAGATTTGATCAATAAAAAACTATAATACCGCTAATAGCATAATAAAAAAGAAAAAAATCTATTTCAGCCAGATTCGAACGCAAAACAATATCGCGTCACATGTTCACCGTTTGAAACCAAACACTCAACGTGATCGGCTATGAAGAATACTGCGTCCCGTGCGCTTATACCAGCATAAACGGATGCGGTATGATTTTGATTTTGATTGTTCAAAATTTATACAGCTTACTATTTCGTATAGTTGTATTCAGAAGGTGAACGTATAAAAAGCACAGTTTCAATCTTGGCAGGAATGTTTGAGCCAGAAAGCATCAATACTTTTGATGTTAGTCATAGTTTTATTAACAATTACTGATTTTTGTTATTGCAGAAACCACCATTGGTTTTCTTTCATTATACCACATAAGTTTAGAATAACCAACGACAATTGAAAATTAATTTAAAACTACTAGTTCCAGCCTTTCAAAAAAATGAAAATATTTTATCAAATTTACACAATTTTATACGATTTAGGTTCAACCTGGAATGCAATTAAACGTAACTTTGATAATGCAGTTAGAGAATATATTCATCAATTGTTGAACAAATTACAAAAATTGGCCGAAGATTACTTCGACAAAATTTCCCTGGCCCATCAAGTACACCTTGTCAAATCTAGCTCTTTTGAAAAATTAAAAGATTTGATTTTGCGAATTTTATTGTTTTTTATGGAAACCATTATAAGCTAAAATAAAAATATGTATCTAATATTTGAGTAAAGGTAAAGAAACGTGCTAACCGTTTGTTACAAGTGAGTTTTTCTATTACAAAATTTTGTGTTGATTTTGCAAGGACACATAAATCAGTTTGGATAGATGCATTGTAATACAGTCAAACTTCGATAAGTCGAACTGGTAGTTGTCGGAAAAAAACTTCGAATTATCGCGACTTCGAGTTATGGAAATTTAATTTTAATCTGTATTTTAAACTATATTTATTAAAAAAATTGCATATGTGGAAATAAACACGTAAAATTTTTAAACTTGTGGATTATTACATTAGTTATGCATTTTGAAAATAGTCGCTGATCTGTGTTTGGTGCAGTATTTGAACCTTTCCATCACATCTCTCAAAAAGAGCTTGAATTTTGTTCAACGATGTGTAGACATCTGAGGTAGTTTGATCGCTAAAATGCAGATATAAACGCAATGTATCCAGAGCTGTTTCAACACACTTTTTGGACGGAGGTGTGACTTCCTTTGATTCGCATTCTTCATCATCATTTAAGCCTGTGTTTTCTTTTGGGAGGTAGCTCTCCAAAATATCCTCACCTGTAAGAAATTCAGATGTAGAAACATCTTCATCTAGTTCTAAATAATCTTCCAATGCAACTTCAGTTCCTGGCATCATTTGCTCTGTCCACTCTTGAAACTGTAGCTTTAGTTCGTTGCGATCTTTGTCAATAGGATCTACCTGCTCTTTCAAAAAAATTAATGGAATTTCATGTTCATCTTCCCAAACCGAAACTTTACTAAATCCAGTCTTTTTAAAACATTTCTCCATTGTCTGAGAAGTCACATTAATATTCTACGCCTTTTCAATCTCTCTGACTCAATCTAATAAACTCAACTTTGGAATCGTCCCTGATTCTTCAAACATATCTAATATTTTTAATAAAATTATTTGTCGATAGCTGCATTTCAAGTTTGCAATAATTCCCTGGTCTAACGGTTGCGCCTTTGAGGTCATGTGTGGTGGAAAATATTGAAGCTTAGTTGAGTTCAATCTAGATTTCACTTCGGGAGGGTGAGTCGAACAATTATTATTAATGAACAATAGTACTTAGCAAAACAGAATAGCGTGGCGTGATTTCTTAAAAATTTCGACTTATCCAAGTATGGTTCGTCCACACACTTCGATATATCGTGAACTTCGACTTATTGAGTATAAAAATAATGTGTTTTACTGAACACGGGACACGGGATTATGAGATTGCTTCGACTTACCAAAAATTCGTGTTATCGAAGTTTGACTGTACTAACAGTAAAAGTATTGTATTAGTTATTGTTATTCTTGAATAGTGATTTATAATCAATAAAATAACGAAACAATTTAATCACGTCTGCCGTATGTAATAATAACAGAGTGCGACTGAAGACCGAACTGAAAATCATTTAGGTAGACGTGGCAGTGAAACAGAAACTAAACTAAAACATGTTTTCTACCAGTGGCGTTTCGTGACCTTTTCAAATGGGGGAACACAATTTGATCGATGAGTTAAATACACGGTGATTGCGAAATATATGGGGAATAGCTCACAACACGATTATGTCACTGTATAAAATTCACGATCCTAACTGGTAGCAGTGTCTAGAAAAAATATTTGAAATTAAATATAAATATACAGGCCACTGGTAGTGTTTCTTGACCTATTTCTTTCAATCAATGGCACAGAATGACTCGGATTAAGAACCAAAAAAGGGACTGATAAGAAACGAGCAAAAACAAGAAAATGGCCAGTCATGATCTGTTGCTTGCATCGAACGGACGGGAGTTGGTTTATGGTGAAATTTTCCAATTCAGTGTGTGTTGGTATGGTACTCCTGTATGGTGTGCACGAACATTTACATCAGTGGTATAGCATCTCCGAGATCATGGTACCTTCAACCTCAAACTCACGATCGTTGCCGTGATAGGACAGAAAGAATGCTGCAAATTGAGGAACAAATTTTGGAACGCGACTTGCAGCTGAAGTTGGAGTTGTAGTGCATTGCACATGTTTAAAAAGTGCAAGGTTTGGAACCCGCTGATTGGTCACGTTGTGTAATTTACTGCACATGGTTGTTACCGCAGTGTGGCCCTAACTTTTTAAAGTGCATGTTGTTTACGGATGAAGCAGGATTCACTCGCAATGCTGTTTTCAAGAGCCACAACACTCACATTTGGTCCGATGAAAATAACATTTTCAACATTTCTTATAAATAGGTAGTAGCATTCCAAGTTGCTCTTATTTTTGTTGTAATAAACAATGTGGAATCGTTGTGACAAGGACCAGACATCCGTCAGAATAAAAAGTCGATCATCATGAAGCATTACCGAAAATCGGTCCTTCTCAGAACCACCATTTTTTTCTACAACGAATAATCTTTTGCACTGACCTTTAACGATGAATGAATGCATGAATGAACGAATGATAGCAGCAAATAGTCGGTTTTACTTTTAATTGAAACTGAAAGTGTTTATATCGTTTTTATTCAAACGTTTTTCCACCTCTGTTTACAAGGTGGATCAGTGACTTCGTATTGAGGGGGTTTATGAGGTTTTTGCCCCATTCGATTTTAAAATTGTTTTTCTATATTTTCACACTACTACGTTACGTAATGCCATGGTTAAAATTATTGCATGAATAATATAACTGTATTTTGATTAACAATTTACCATTCTTACAATAGCTTTAAAACATCTGCAACATTTCAAAGTATTCAGTTTGGCATTCTTGATTTAATCAAGAAAATAAATTGACTCAATCATAAATTTTTTTGAGACGCGCTGTATAAGCGAATCTAAAAAATATTAATGCAGTGATAAATCACTAGTATACGCATCATATTTTGCAAATTTAAGATAGGATTTACCTAGTGTACCTATATAATATATTAATAAGGGTAGGGCAAACGAAGGAATACATTTTAATTGGTGGATCATTTTTTCCAAGGCCTATTTCAATTTTAAGCAATTTAATCATGGCCGACTTCATTAATATACACTAACGTGTATATACGGCCGTTTCAATTTTTGATTTTCCATTAGAAAAAATGTTCCGCCGCCTAGTGCATATTGTGGCGCCCTCAAACGACAGATCTCGTGCTATTTCTGTCAAATTAATTGTCGAGTTGAAACATGGTTGAAACTGACATTGACAACAAATTTTACTCGAAGCATAAAAAAAAGCAGTTTGGTTCAGATAATAAGGTTTTTTTTTTAATTTTATCACAAAACACAGTAAGTAAAACAATAATATTAACGTAAAGTTACAATTTCAATACTTTTCGACTTTTAGGTTTAAAATTTAATGCAAATCTCTTGACAGAATCTGTGGTCTCCAAGCAAAGATTGCTGAGAACTGGCTTTACAGTCGTTTTGATTATATATTTGCACACAGAATCCCTGTGATTTGCACAGACGAAAATGGGATTTTGCACAAGGTGTGGATACAGTTCTTCAAGTATGTATTTACCAGGATTATCATGTTGTAGAAATGGCAACATTTGCTGGATGCTTTCAGCTATCAGCTGAATAATACCAACAAAGATATCTTTGGGATAGACTAAACCTCCTCGGTTTTGAATGGCAATCAATTGTAGCAAAGGACCTGGAATGCTAGTACATAATAGAGGTGTTAAACATTCATCACAATGAAATAAATCTTCTAATTTTTTTATTATGTATCCTGCCAAGAAAGCTACTGATGCTGAGAAAATATTATTATCAGGTATGATGCACTTCTTAAGATTGTGAATATTTCTTCGTACTTCAATTGGAAATATGAGTTGTTCTGTGTGCTTAGTAAAGCTCTCTCTGTTTTCTTGTAAATTTAAAATATTTGCAGGACTAATATAGTTAACATTTTCAGCAGTGTTTGAGGAATGGGAAGCTTTAACAATCCCACAACGAAGAATTTGCCTTAATGCATAATCTGCAGCTCTGGCATCTGTGGCATCATTAGAACCACCTTTCAGTCTTACATGTGAAAACATGGCCTCTACTGCGTCTGAGCTGAAGGATCGCGTTACAACATAATAGAAGCCAACCTGGCTTAGCAAAAAATTTACACAGAGGTATGTGCTTTTTGCCGTGAATTGTAACGCATGAGCTGTTTCCTTAGTAAGACCTTTAAATCCAACATCTACAGAAGTCTTCTGGATATCGTCAATATACTTTGGAAATGTGACATTTAACCAGTCAAGACGTTCATCTGAAATATGCACATATGGTGCAATACTGCTACCTAGTGAACGAAGATAGTGATCTCTGCTTGAAACATTATGCACCTGAAAAAAATGGTACATGTTTTCCATATAGAATATAGAGGCATCAGCGTCTACAAAGCGATCGTCCCCTGCAGCTTTTAGAAATTTTAAAGAAGAGGTTACAGTAGGTGAAAAAACTTGGATTGCTCTTAGGACATTCATTTTTTCAAAGTTTGATGGAAATAGATGCTTCTTTGTTAAATATCTGACAGGCTTTACTGGCATTCCCTTCTGCAAATCATACAATAATTTGAGGTAACATGATGAAATTTTGCCTTGAGAAGAATACATATCATGGTCTAAAAACAAATTTCGTGCATTTTTTAGAGCATGGCAGAAATCGAAACTCAAAAATAGTGGAATATGTTCCAGAATGGGATGATTAATGGAATTTTTCAGTGATCCGTTTCCAAATTTTTTAAAGAGGGCGACATTTGTTGAAATATTGTCTGTAACAAATCTAATCACAATGTAGCCTCAGTTTGTCAGAAGTTGTAAAATGTTTTTTGTTAATAAATATAATTCCTGAGTTGTTAACGACGAGTGGAAAAAATACCCTGCTGGTATTGTATATCTAGTACTCAATCCCTGCACCACAAAACAAAGCATCTTGTTGGCTACTTTTGGCTTAGTTCCAACACGAGTAGAACTTGTTGTCTCTAAGCCATAAATTCGATCTTCTGCCCTACAGTAATGAACTTTTTCTTTTATGGACATGTCGTCCATTATTAAGGAGCAGATCCTTTCAACTGGCTTTTTTAATTGACCAATTTCTGCACACAATCGCTCTTGGATCAGCTTATTTTGACCATGAAAGTCTCCAAGGAATCTGGATATAGTCGATTTTGAAGGCAGTTTTAGTAAGTTATTGTGGCAAAATCTGTAACCTTTCGGCGAACAAAATCTCCAGACAGTACACAGACGAAGAGACATTTCTGACCACCTAGGTATTTTTTTATAGTGATTTTTTATCAAGTCCAAAAGAAATATTGACTTTTCATCTGCGTTGTTTGCGTCTTCTATAATTTTGGTTATTTTTAAAGCATCCAAATTTTTTACTTTTTCTTCCAACTCTCTCATTTTTGATAAACATTCAGAATTCTTTCGTTTCATTCTACTCAATTGTTGCTTTAAAACTTTGTTGTGGTACCTGAGATCTTTAAGTTCTTGTTTGTCCTTCGCACTTAAATCATCACATGTGGAAACATTAGTTTCCTTATTAGCATTTTGGAATGAGGAAACGGAAGTTGGATGAGTGTCTTCTAAAAAAGGATTTGTTGGTTGGGTACTAGAAATGTCAGGATCAGTAGGATTCTGGAATGATGACAAAGATTTATAGATTATGTGAGGTACGTAGATTTTTATGTACATACGAATATAAACGGAACCGCTTGTTTATTAAGACGAGTACTTTTTGCGCTTCTAACAATACATTCTGTTGCAAAATGTTTGGAACACACAACAGTATGATCGTTTATCTTGGTCAGATCTAAAATAATTCGAATAAAATATTTTTTGAGGAACTTGTTTTATGAAATACCACAAAATTTTGAAAGTGATTCAAACCATTTGTTTCTAAGATCTACTTCCGCAGGAATTCCAAAAAGTGGATTCTGTGTATTACCACAAATCATACACTTTCTTCCCATATTATAAAGACCTAGTTTTATTAACAACGATAATAATTCATGCCCAAAATTATTTTGGATTTGAAAATTGTCAAAGAAAATTTCTGACAGTAGTGACAGTTTAGTTGAAGACATTGCCGTGGGTGGCGTATGCTTATGTAGCCATGGATTACTACGCGGGAACAAATTTTTAAGAAATTGAAACGACCGTATATACACGTTAGTGTATATTAATGAAGTCGGCCATGATTTAATGCAGTACTGCACACTGTCAAGCCGACATTGATTAGCAGTACGCGGGAATTTGTTTCACCGCTGCAATCCCCCAGTTGAAGTAAGGTGTGTTTTACTGCGAGTAGCGGGGACGGTTTGAGCTGGTCCACAAGATCGTAGCCAGTGCGTCGCTAGGAGTGTTTACAGCTAGTAAAAAAACTACAAACATACTTCTATATTACTATATTCCTTCAAATAATAATACTCCATGCCCTTTTTAATTTTTCAACCACAGGACCACAAATTTGTGATCTTGAAATGTTATATTATGTTGAAATAGTCCAAAAGAAAAATATATTTATAATCAAACTATCGCCGCGACAGCACTGGTTCTAGCGTATGAGATACAATTCCGCGCGTTGTTGATTAGAGACGTTCGTCAAGCTGTATTTAAAAAATGACCGGCATACAGTATAAAAGGTTGTCATAACCAGAGAACGGCGAAGCCGTTTTAATTCATAGCCGTACACACAGTTTTCGCAGCGCGCTCAAGGTCTAGGAGCTCGCTCGAGATTTTCCTCTGTAAAACGTGTTCTTTTGGGGGTTAATAAGTTTTTCAATTTAGGACATGAACGATCCACGTCACAACTGGTTGTGGGACTGTAATTAAAAAATGAGAGGAAATTTTATTATGTATTTTGTTGTAATGTTTGGCTCTGTCATGCCGTCGCAAACTTGATGCAGTGTTTAAACCGGGAGTGCTACTAAAAACAGATTCTACTTTCATTTTTAACTTCTTCCCAAATTCACCGGGAAGCCTTTTAAATTGGGTCACAATATTTTGAAATTTTGATAAAGCACCATGCAACTTTAAAGTTTCAGAGTGCAAATAACCTATAGTTTTCGATGAATCTTGACAATTTTGTGCAATGTTAAATATTATAAAAAAATAATATAAAATGCTGCTTCTATTAAAAATGAAATAAAAAAATCAAAATAAGATTCGTAAAAATGAAAAACCTCCACACAGATATATATAAATAAAAAGAAACTAAAATGTTAAGCACATTTTTGTTAATAATTTGCTATTTTACAAATGAATACTGCTCCGACTGCGCCACTTCTAAGCGTTTGATGTGCAAGGAGTACTCGACGCCTATGTACAGGTGCGTATTGCACCTGAAAAACAAGCGATAAGACTGCGATCCCAATGCAGTGTAGTCGGCCAACGAATTGATCGACACCGTGCCGCACTGGTCATGTGCATATATGTTGTGGTCCGCACAGTTCTCAACTCCAAGGTCGCCGCCCTTTGGTCATAACCATTCAGAACATGGAAAAATCTTTAAAAAGTGATTGATTCTTCCACGCGACGTAACAATTGTCCGACGAGACCGAAGGTCGAGTCACACAATACGTCAAGTGCAAGAACACTTTTGCACGTGTTGCATACGACATTGTTTCTACAATCGTGGGTATAATGCACCAGTTTTATTGGAGACTTAAATAAAATTCTACAACTACTAAAAGGTATCATCATGCTGTCGTATGTTAGTCCATAACAACCAAACAAGGGTTCCAAAAAAAAAACAATTTGCAAAATAAAATAAAACGCCATAAAAAAGTAGTGAGTGAGTGTTTTCAACCGTGCTGACCCCAAAATGAGCGATTCGAGCGAAAATGAAACAAACCCTGAAATTACCGAGATGGCCAATGCGGCAATATTGAATTTATTGCCCGAGAAAACCGAAAACAATATGATCTGACATACAACGGGTTCAAAGAGTGGTGTGTGGACAAAAAGCTTGTGCAGTTAACAGAAACCGTGCTTCTGGCTTGTTTTTCCGATCGGTCAACGAAGGTAAAGCCTTCTACACTCTGGTCCAAATATTCCATGATACGTGTTTCCCTTTCGGTGAAAGAAAATAAGAATATAAATAAAATTTGACGCTGCTGAGATTGACATTAGAGTGCAATCAAATTTTTCTTGCACTAGGTCAAGAAAGTGCCACTTTTTGCACTCTAAACCATTGACATATGAGTCATTTTTTACACGTTTGTAGAAACAAATTTTTTTTCGAGTTTCATCAAGAAAAACACTAGATATATGCACTACAAATTCTACAGTGGTAATTCACTTTACTGCATAGCAACGTCCAATTCATTAAAACAGTGAGACACTATTATTTTTACTTCATTTACTTCCATTATACATATATGTTGAAAATCCAACTCGAAAATTCTTAACCAATAAAATGACAGAATTGTTTGAAATTTGCCCAATGGCATTCACCGAAAAATTTTTTCAGTGAAAAAACATCCTTTTATCAGGCAACAATACTGTTTTTCAGCGAAAAAATTTATGTGAAATTAATTTGTCAAACTTGTCAAATGAACTTTAATAAACGATGATAATGAAACATACAAAATTACATTCTAAACTGAAATTACTGATGGCTGATTAGAATAATAACAATTAAAGTTACAATTGTTATAAATCTTATTTTCCTTTTGATCTTATTTTTTCTCGATGATTTCATTGCCAATTTCGACAGCTGTAATATCTTGTCTAAATGTTGTTACAATTTTATTGTAGTAACTGTCTAGCTGCAAATAAGGACGGATAGATGCTACTGAAGTGTCCTGTAATTTGTATTAATTGCTGGTCGCCAATTCCAGCTTTTGCAAGTTGACTAACAGCTGTCGAGCGTGCAGAGTGATTTGAGATTTTCTGGCGTTTTCTATCCAGTCCCACTTTTTCAGCACTAGCCATTACTGAATTCATTTACACCAACTGGTGATTTTTTGTACCAAGACGATGTCTTCCATGAAGGATTTTCTGTCAAAAATAAACGATCCGTTTTAATGGTCTTGCCTCTCCTTGCCAAAATCTTCTCCAGGGCACAAATCTGTATTTTCTCTATTTGGTATTATTTACTTTCACATGTCAGACTTGCATCCCCTTGCTGAGTCTTGGAAAAAATTTGATTGTATTCATAACGTCCAGTTAGATTACCAGAACTATGAACTTCGGGTTTAAAATAGTGAAGAAGACAATGCGCTCCTTTACCCCCGCGCCGTGCTAATTCCTTTGCAGCAATTAAATAAATTTTTTTGTGTAACCCCGAAGGAGTATCTTCGTCCCAATGATTAATCATTTTCCTGTAATTTACTTCGTCAATAGCACATGAACTAATTTTCCTTTACACGGAGATAGCCTGCAGCTTTTTTCTTCTGGAGTCTCTGGCTTTACGTGCACTCTAAAAGTCGATCTCCATGAAAGGATTCATTGTTATAGTATTAAACTTTTTGAAATACAACTGTTGGACCAATTTTTCAGTAGTATTCCAAATTGTGTTAAGAGTAGCTTCTTTGTATTCAGATCCGTCTTTTCTGTTGGCGTTAAAGGCATAATCTTCTAAAATGGCCAGTACCTCGTTCATTTCGACTGCTTTATTTAGAGGAAACTTCCGTATTTCACAAAATTCTGTAAACTGCTTCCAAATTAAATCTTGCAGTGTTCTTGATACCAATCTTTGCTCCCATAATTAAGAAAATCAACAAGCAGCCCACACAAAATTTGATGTTTAGAAATTTATTTTCGTTTTGCCTTGTTTTTTTGTTACTATTTGGACTAGGTAGGTATGGTTACTCAACTACTACGCTAACTATAAATTATGTGAATTATTCTCCCTAAAAAGTAAATAAAAATTTTCTCTTTGGATTATGAAGCCGAATATAACTCGTGATCTGATTTTTTCTACAAAATTTGTGTAAAAATTAAGTCGTAGCTGTTGCTTTTGGAAAACTACACTCGTCTCCTTCGTCGACTCGTGTGATTTTCGTCGGAACAGGTACTCGGTAATTTCTGTCACAAATTTTGTCGGAAAAAATCAGACCATTTGTAATATTATATTTGAAAATACAATGATTTAAATTAGCAAGGGTCAAACCTCCCGATCTCACTATAAAAAATAATCTGAAGAGACATGATCACTGATATCAAATAAGTATCATACCTTTTTATAGCACGTTACGTTTTCGTGAAATTTCCTGACTTTTTTGGTTGTTTTGCACTGCCAAAATACGCTATATGTCTTCTTATATTTTTTCCTTCGACTTGGTAGGAAGCAGGTTCATGGGCAGAAGTCAAGATATCCACACTCACCGGAATATTCGTTAAATCGTGCAATTCCATTTTTGGTTCATTTTAAATTTGTTTGACTGTTGTTAATAATGTCAAATAAGTCCCGCTTGGTTGCTATGTTATTGAAAAATTTTACCTACTGTTATTTTTTATCTGCAGTTGACTTTTATTTAAAACTAGCTGACCCCGTGAACTTCGTTTCACCTACAATTTAATTTTGAATCTGCAAAACCGAATGCTTTGAAATCTTGCAAATGTTTTAGACATATGATAAGCATAATAAATTTCAAAATATGTTTACTTATCGTTATAATTTTCCCAAATGAATCCTATCTAAAATGTCCAAAATAGGATGAGACTATATTTGTGATTTATCATTCCATTCACATTTTTTAGTTTTGCTTATAGGGGGTGTCTCAAAAAAATTAATCACTGAGTCAATTTATTTTATTGATTGAATCAAGAGTTGCAAGACTGAATTTTGAAATATTGCAGACGTTTGGAAGTTACTGTTTGACATGGTAGGTTTTTAATCAAAATATATCTGTTTATCAAGCCCAAAAACTTGATGACGTCATCTCAAGATTTTGCCGAATAAATTCTATCTAAAATGTGCAAAATATCATCAGTATATTTTCGTAATTTATCATTGCATTCATATTTTTTGGATTTGCTTTTACAGTGACTCAAACAAATATTTGGATCATTCAATTTATTTTAATGAATAACTCAAGAGTTGCAGAAATGAATACTTTGAGATCTTGCAGACGGTTATTGTAAGCATGGTAAATTGTTAAGAATATTTATTTATTCCCCCCAAAAAATTGATGGAATGGTTCACTCGATTTTCGCAGATAATTTTGGGAATACAATACAGTTATTTTTCGTATTACACTGCGCCAATCCAAGGTGATATACGTGTCCTTTCAAAAATGTTGATTAGGTCATTACAAAATTGTGTAAAGGAAAAACTACTCGAAAATGCTGCATATGTTTCATTATACTTTTGGTGCGAAGGGAGTTCTGTCAAAACAACGTTCGACCAATTTTTTGACAGTGATAGTGTTCAACCATCAAGGCAAAAATCGAGTCACCAAAATATAAGTTAGCATGGGGTAGACAATTTGACATGGGAATCTCTATGGCCAGTGTTAGGAAAAACGCACTGCACAATTTATGCATAAATAAATAGCTATTTTTGCAATAAGATAGGAAAAGTGACATGAGATTTTTGATCGAGACGAAGTCGAGATCAAAACATGTCGTGAATGTGGAAAGACACTTTTCTTATCAAATTGCACACAAGATTTTGTAAAATTAGGTAAAAAACTCTTCATTATAAATTTAATTGAATGATAAAGTATCAAGTCCCTTTTAATGCAATAAATTTGTTGTCATGGAAAATACAAACAACGCAACATTTTGCAATTTTTCAATGTTTGAAGTGTTTTGGGTGTTTCTTGAGGTAAAAATGTTAGAAGATGATGTTGCATCAGTATCTTTTGATGTTGAAGAGTCAGCCACACTGACACGCAATTTACTATTGCCCGAGAAATTTAAGAAAAATTTTAAAAAGGCGTACAAGGAGTTTGAGAAGTGGTGTTTGATATTGTTTTGTTTTATTTTTCCACTCTAGTTAGGAAAAATTTCACTTTTCCAAACCCAAATGAATGTGGAAAACTAGAACAATTAACAACTGAATTTTACAAAGTTAATTACCTGAAAAATTTTCGATTTTCCCGCTCCTAATGTGTTCTTTGAACTGAATACACTTTTTGACGAAGTTCCACTTTCATGAAAGTCGCAATGTTTAGTCAAAATTCACTCTTACAACCATCCTACTCGTTTTCTAAGCTGCTTTACAGGCAGCTCGGTCATTAGCCACGCCAATGCTCATTTTTAGACTGTATAGATCATTATTATTAACGCAAATAATATCTGATTATGAAATGGGAAAAAATAGTATACGCGCATCGATAGAAAAGTCTTTTCACAACTCGCTCTCTTCGCTCACTCGTACTCAAACAACCATACTCGTTTGATAAAACTTTACTTTTCTACACTTGGCCCGTAATGTACTATTACTTTGTATTTATTTTGTCCTGACTCAAAAAAAAAATTAACGTTATTATACTATATTCGAACTCAGAAGAGTGTTCTCAAATACATCTTAGTGTTCAAGTCTTGTAATCATCGTAATTAATAAAATAGAATAAAAATTGTTTATTTTCAAACGTCATATAACTGACACTTATATGACGGTCTTACCGGGGTTTAAGTGTCATTTCTATGACACCGTGTTTGAGCGGCGCATAAGTACTACTTATACTCCGCCGGCGTATAAATAAAGCATTTATACTCCGCCGGAGTATAAATATGTGAAAATCATAGTGGTTGTCAACCATAGTAACCATGGTAAGTGAAATCAAGGCAATTCCTTAATGAAGCAAGAAGATGGGAAATAATCATTTCAAAAGAATATTAATCGTTTGAAAATAAAATATTGTATTTCATTCGGAGTTTAAGTGATTTTATGTGACTCGTATGGACTTAATTCGCCTCGCTATTGCTCGGCGTTTAATCGTCCGTACTCCGTCACATAAAGTATCACTTAAACTCCTAATAAAATAAATATCTATTATTTATTGGTAAAATGTTGGATTTGATTGTTCAGAAAAGCATAATAAATGAAATAATTTCAAGTCTCGAAAATAAATGTTTCACTACTTAAGTACAGTAAACTCATTTGAGTCATTTGGCATACACCTTTTAAAACTTTTATAGACTTAAGCGGCTTAAAGTCAAACTGGCTATTGTATAACTTAACTCAGTTCGCAGCTCCATTATGGACAGTAATGGGTCTATAAAGCTTAAAATAGCCAGTTTGACTTATAAGGGTGGTTTGGCTTATGTCGCTTAAGTCATAAAAGTTTTACAAGGTGTATGTCAAATGAGTTTACTGTAACAACGTGTTTAGCAAAGAAAATGCAAAAAATAGTTTAAGAAAATATTATTTTACACAAGCAAATAATACAACTTTGCACATAATTTTTTTCTTAGTTTTATAGCAACATAAAAATTCAGATCACGTAAAAAAATTTTGTGGCGATTGTTTTTATTATTATTGTGCTTCCTGGCAATTACTTTATGTTACTGAAGTGATGCAAACATAGAACTCATTCGTCTTTATTTATAAACTAAATTCTGTTAACATAGGTTCATTAATAAAAAAGTTTTTCGAGGTGTCCTCCTTTAGCTAACTCACCCTGTGCATATGGTATAACTATTATTTATTATTAGTATTCGTTGATTACGTTGTTGCTTTATTTCGTTTTCTTTTTCAGATTATGACTTGAAAATTGCCGTGTTTACCTTTGCCGTTTCCCGAATGTAGGTAAGAAATATATAGAATTTGTAGGATATTTTAAACCAGCTGGTGACATACATTTTTTTAAATTAAAATACATTTAATAAAATTAGTCACTCTTTCGTTTTTTATTCATCAAATTAAGAACGAGCCACCCCATTTTCTTGAAATTGTGAGAATACGCTCGTCTTTATAACAATAAAATAATGATAAAGTAAGAATTATAATAAAACAATAGAATAAACAAATAGAACAAAATATTTTGTTCAATTGAGGCTTATTGAAATAAAAAATATCGCTACGTGACATTCTTCCGATATATAAACATAAACATTTCAATCACTACGCAAGTTATGTTAAGAGCCAACTCCAAAGTCCGAGAGATGGTCAAATCCACATGAACTCTGTTATCACCAGAATATCAATATGTATATATATATATAATCTGTTACCCTCTTTTACCCATTGGGTGTCGAGGAGGGAGACGCACCGAGCCGCTCAGATAGGTATGGCGATCTTGGCCACCCATCCACAAAGTGACTGCGGACAGCGTTGCTTCATGAACATTATCGCTGTGCCGCGCTAGGGTCTATCTGAGCCGTACTGCTCCCCAATATGTATATATAAGAACAAAATTTAATATATTAATTAGTTCTTAACCTGTTACGCTGTAATTCAGTACTTTTGAAAATATTTTTTAAAAACTTGTCTGAATCAACAAGTTAATTGGCGCAGTCGGTAGGATAACGCGGTCGTGGAAAAAACGTGTATCGAACAATAGTTTTTGCGACTTGGAATTTTAATTCCTTCGGCGTTATTCGTAAAAATAAAAACCAACTCTCTTGGAGTATTTGCATCGCCACATAATTGAAGAGGTTTCAGAAGGAAGTTCGAGGGGACCCAACAAAGTGTTAGCCCCGAAGAGCTCCTTCAAGCGAAAACAGCATTTCAAAAATAACTCAAGTGCTTGAAGACTCAGCGTTGAGTCTGAGCATTTCTTTCGTTTTCAATTTTTCCTTCTTGTAAATTCACAAAAAAATCAGTTTGTTTTTCCCTTTTTTCTCTCTTCCTTTTTTCAAGATTTATGTACATATTATTGAGATATATAAATCAATCAACAAATATTATTCTAAATTTATGAGTAGCAATTCGAGTAACGAATTAGATTCGTTCATAAGAAACTTTGAACTCTTAATTAATCTTGGTAGATTGTATTCGTTACTCAAAAGTTCTCATTTTCGCAGATGACATTAGAATCTACCGTGAAATTAGTAGTATGGGGACTCCTTGCTTCTCCAAAAAGACATAGATAATTTGGTTGTTTGGTCATGCGCTCAACTTATTACCTTTGAATGAAAACAAATCATTTATCATTTCGTTCACACGCAAGCTTAATGTCTACGAGTTTGATTACAAACTCAATCAGCTTACAAAAGTGCTCATCTATTTTGGATTTAGGAGTTTTGTATGATAAGAAGTTCAGTTTTGCTGAACATGTGGAGAGCATTACTTCACAAGCTAAAATATCACTAAGGTTCCTTATTAGAAACTGCAAAGAGTTCACTAGTATTCAAGCTTTGAAAACTTTGTTCTATGCTTTGGTACCTACGTTCTAAACTAGAATATTGTGCCTTAGCTTGGTTTCCTTATTACAATTATCAAGTGGTATGCCTTGAAAACACACAGCGCAGATTTTTGAGATACCTCTATTTTAAGGAAGAGAAAACATGGCCAACGAGAAATTATCCGCAAACTGATCTGTTAAATAAATTTGATATGAGTTCTTTATTTTGTAGACGTATTACCAGCGTTATTGTTTTTTTTTATATAAATTGTTAAATAATCAAATTGATTGCAGGACTATAACTAATTGTTTATTCTTTCTGGTACCCAGAATTAACAGCAGTCATTCTGTAACATTATACACCTGCACAGCTAGAACTAATCTTGAGAGAAAAGCACCGATATATGTAATAAGTTATTATTTAAAAGAAATAGAAAAGAACTCCGTTTTTGACATTTTTAACACTAGTCTTAAGTCTATAAAAGACACTGTAAGAAATAAGTAATTTGCACATTATTTTCATAATAAGGTTTCATGCTATTGCATTTAATTAACTCTTCATTTTTATCATCAGCCTAGATTTATAGATTGTTTGATTGATTTTTATTTCTATTTTATTTTATTTTTTTTATTTAGGTTACTGTTCTTGTGTTTCATTATACTTATATTTTGATTTATATTTTGATTTATTTATGTATTTAATTAATTAAATTGTTATATTCTTTGCTTTGAATTGTTGCCATAGTTTTGCATTCTTTTTAATTGTCCTGTAACTGGAATGTGTAGTTCCGTTGGGCAATAAACTTTATTATTATTATTATTATTAATAATCTTGAAGAACCAAGAGACGTAAAAATGCCTAATTCTAATAACGGTTTCGATTATCACCTTTTGAGATTGTATGTAGACACGATATCATCCTGCAATGATTAACAAGACACGTTAGACACTTTTATTTTGTCTTGTGAGTACTTGTTCTAAAATATCGATATCAGTACAGCCCCGCATTTAAAGCCATATTTGAGAGTTGTTGTTGGTAAACTAAAGGGCAGAGCTCGGAATTTAATAGGACCCAGGTCTGAATTAAATACATAGTCATTAATTAAAAATGCTTTCCGCACACATTTCGGAGACCAGCGTAATTTAGAAAGCCTTGAACAAGATTTAATCATGCCGTTTCCTGTTAAGAACGAAGCTCCGCTAGGATTTGGCAAACGTTTACAAATTATGAGAAGTAAACTTTCGACCAAGTTAAGTTAGATTGACGTTTTTAGAAACGAATGACGCCACAAAACCAGTATATTCTAAACAGTACGATAGCCTAGTCTTGAAAACTTTTCTTGGCGGTCTTTCCTTACAAAGTATCGTTTCAATTAAAAAAACCCATATCCTTAGAATCTGCCATGTCATATGTTATCGAGGAAGAGAATTTCCGCTATACGTAAGATTTCGCGCACCTCGTACACTATAATAAATAATCAACCCCAGAGGTTAATTAATAACTAAGCAAACTTTAATAACCAACAGAAATCCTGACAAGTACCACTTCAACAGTTTTTTTCCCCCTTCTCATAATCGCCCCCAATTTTCAAATAAATACGTCAAACAACAATATTCATATCCGGTTCAACAATTTTCTAGTAATTCCTATCAAAATCAGCAATCACATTTTTTCCACAATTTCCATATCAACCTGTTAATTTAACTAACTATAAATCCAGATCCGCCAAGACAGAGATTTCTCACAAATTCTCAGGTATTTCCAAGACCCAAAAATGCATTTAAGCCAGCTAGTCAAATTTCAACGGAAAAACCTATACCCACTTCTAGCACCCCCACTATTAAGCAAACATCAAATACCAGATTCTCACTACAAGAAAATTTCGTTTCCCAAGAACTCTTTGTTTTGGGCGAATGAATGAATAAATAAATAAACTCTATTTTATTGCCAAGACAACGAAAATAATTTCTATAATTCATATAATACATATTATATCACTTGATGAGTGCGGCGCTGGCGGACGGACGTGCAACGAATTGTGTTCCTGATTGATTGTTTACCAATAATTATTATTGTAAACAAAACTTCTCACACGTGAGTTATGGTATGGTTGCAATACTTATAATTTAGTTTTGTTTGCATCTAGCATGTTTTACCAGTTGCCTAATCTAGCCACTCAGTATTTCTTTTATACCGTAGCGACTACTTATCTAAATATGTATCTGTTGATAAGTTTTTACAACTTTGCAAAATGCCAGCGTGCAAAATATGCGACATAAACATTAAAAACTTCGACAAAACTCAAAAGTGCTTTGCCTGTGGTAATAAAGATGCCACAAAATGTCTGAAAATTGAAGAGAATGACCTTAAAATTCTGTGTAAATACGGAAATTTTCGCCACCTGAGTAATAAATGTCTTATTTTAGAGGGAACCTCCAAAATTGATCTCTTAAAACAATCTGTTGTAAAGTATCTCAATCTTATCTAAAATAAAATTGAACATAATAATCTAATTCTAAATCAAGTTAAGAAAAATCTACCTTCTGAAAGTTCAGCAAAAAAATTTGACAAATGCTCAGTGTACCAAAACCAACTTCAAAAGCTCAAGGCTTTAATACTTGCTTCTAAGTAGCAGTCATAGAATTCGCAGATGATTAATAGTTTTGTCACCAAACTATCTCTTATGAGTAATTCCTTACCCAGTTGTTCAGTTAATTCGTCATTTTTATGTTGTTATTATCAGAATGTTGGAGGTTTATGCACCAAAACAAGGGAATTATAATTATGCTTAATTTTTGAAACGCATTTTCAGTTAATTACGTTATCTGAAACTTGGTTGCATAATAGTACTATAGGATGAGGAGTTAATACATGTAGCAAAATACAGTGTTTATCGCAAAGACAGCAACTTCAAAGCGTGTAAATGTGTAAGCAGTTTTGGGCATTATCTAGATATTTGTATTTAAATAAATTATCTAGATAAAATCAATTTTATGCATAAAATATCTGTAATTAGATAAAAAATAAATGGCAAAGATACAGGTACATCTTTTTTATTTTACGTTTTTTTTTTGCAGCAGCTACTGGAGAAGAAACAGTAAAATACAAAGCAGATATTCCCGTTTTTCCAGATACGAACGGAAGTTTCGAATTTGTCTTAGATGATTTCCACAGTTTCTTCGATGTGATTATTATTGGTATTAAATAAAATGTGATGAGTTTTTACTTCTTATTTTATCACTGGATTAATATTTTTTAGTTTTGCTTATCAGTCCATTCACATTTTTTGGATTTGGTTATATAGGGTGACTCAAAAAAATTAATGACTGAGTCAATATATTTTATTGATTTAAATCAAGAATTGAAAAACTGAATATTTTGAAATCTTGCAAGCGTTTTGAAGTTATATGGTAACTTTTTAATCAGGATGTATCTGTTGATCTACCCCAAAAACTTGCTGAC